GATTCAACTATGGTGACACTACTATTTTAATTTTTTTTCTTTTCTGTGCAAAATTTTCCATTCATGTTTTTACATAGGTGAATTTTTTTGATTTATGACAGTTAAATAGGTTATAACCATTTGTGGTTGGTTAAGGTTGCTACAGTATTGATGTAGTTATATTTTGAGTGCTAAAATTTAAATAGGTCTTTTTTTTTTACAACCATTTTTAAATTGCTACTTAATATTTACCAAGCCCACTGGTGTCTTTTCATTTATACATTTAGGTTGTTTCTGAATTTTTTGGTACAGAACATATTGTTCTCCGTGCCCTTCCCTTCATACCATCTTTTGAAAATTCCATGATATAATAGATCAACAAGTAACAGCATTTCATGGCTTTGCCTGGTTGACAAAATTATTTCCAAAACAGTTATAATACCATCACCAGCAGTGGGTGTTTTTGCTACACTTCTTTGGTAAGTTAGGAGATAAACTTAACATTTTTGCTGTGAAGATGATTTCGTTGATTACTAGTGATTACTAGTAACTTTTTTCTGTGTGTATTCCTTTTGTGAATTTTCTTTACAAATTTGTGTTGCTTTTGGAATTTTTTGTAAGATTTATATGAGCTTCCCACATATTAAAAACTAATCTGTTAACATTCATTGTAGAGAATTTCTTAAATATATTCTCTCCTGTGTTATGGGTATATAATACATATCTTGCAAACCTAGTCTCAAATTTTTGTGTACTTAAACCTCATAGTCATAATACAGGATTTTTGGTTACTTCTAATGAAGTAATTCTATCAAATTTAATAAATAGTTAAGGGTTGGGGTGGTATTGATTCCTTGGTTTTTCTCTTTTCACCTTTCTGTGTAATTCATGTAGAATCATTTTAGTTAGTTTAAACTTTTTTTCTTAGTTCTTGGCCTTTGGCTAATGCTATTGATTTGCATAGTCTTTCCCCTGCCTACTGTTTTTGCAGTGTCTCCTCCTTGCTTATTATTTATTAAGGTCTTAACACATTCTGGGCTTGTGGTATTTGGAGATTTAACATTTACAATTTCCGGTATTGTCAGATGACCCCAAGGTCTATGATTTAATAATTTGTAGTTTTGCTGGGACTGAACTGTTAGTACTTGCTGCAAGGCTTGCAGATAGGAACTGGTTGTGTAGCTCAATGAGGGAGCCTATTAGACAGGCCAGCACCCGCATCTCAACGCAGCTTTGTTTTTCTCTACTTGTCGTCGCGTACACAGTAACTCTCGAAGTGATAAAAGCTGTTTCTTTGTGAAATATGGGCCCGAAAAGAAAACCAACTGCTAGTGCTGGTGATGGAAGTGAAGAGAAAATGAAGAGGTCTAAGAAAGTGAATGTTCTTAGCCAGAAAATAGACGTTTTGGATATATTAAAGTGTTTTTGCAGATTCAGGTAAGTTTGTGGTTGGTTAATGTTGCTACAGTATTGAAGTAGTTATATTCTGAGTGCCAGAATTTATTTTTTTATAAACGACTAGTAATGTATTTTCAGAAGCACTAAGGATCTGAAGATGTCAGCTCTACTTCACTGCATTTTATGGAGAAGTTAAATGCTTTAGTAGTGTTTGAAAACTTGAGAACTTTGGGGAATCATGATGGTCTTGCAGTATATGTTTATTATTATACTGGGTTATTCTATTCCCATAATGTATGTTCTTGTGGCACTATAACATTTTAATTTTGCTTTTAAATTCTCACCCAAAGATGTTTATTGACTTTGGGGTTGGGGGGGGAGAGGGGAGAAACATGGATCTGTTCTCCCATACTGGCCCCAACTGGGGATCGAACCCGCATCAGGTGTATGGGGTGATGCCCCAACAAACTGAGCCACCAGACCAGGGCTAATTGTTGTAATATTTTTTGATGTGCCCTAAATCTTACTTCCTTGGCCTCTGACATTGGTCTTTTTCTCTCCCAAAATTACACTGTCATCATACCACATGAGCAACAGTATGGTGTTACCAAGTTATAAAAAGGTTTTGATGGTATTTTGTTTGAGATTGTATGAGTTATATAATACCGTACTTGGACATGTATGATGTACTCCTGTGTATAATATGCACCCTTATGTTTTCCTCAGAAATTTGGGCCAAAAGGTGTGCATTATATATGGCAAAATATGGTAGCTTGAGTAGAGACCTTTTGAAATGTCTATTTTTTCTCATTTGGGAACTGTGTATTACAAATTTTAACTGAACTAGCCCGGAAATATAGTTCCACATATCTTGTATGAACCTCTTTTAGCAAACATTTTGAACATTTATGTGGACTGGAATTTATATTAGATGTTGGAGAATAATAACTAATAGTAATTTCTCAAGGAACTTTCAGTCTGAGAAAACAAAAAGACAATCTTTTTAAAAAGATTATAAAAAGTGTGAAACATATTGTTGCACAGGGAAGTCTGGGAGCACAGAGGTAGGAGCTGTTAAATAGTATGGGCTGAAGAATGGTTTCTAAGAGGAATTGAGTGAGTTGATTGTTCTTATTCTTTGTTAATATGATTGAGATCCATTCTTCTCCCAGCATGATACTGAAAACCTGATTATTATTAGTGTATGGTAAGGCTGTTGACTTTGATCTGTTCTAGCCAATTTAAAGAACTCGTTATTATCTGTATAACATTAGCTGCTGCCTTTGGATTTTCATGTCAGTCTTGTCTCTTCCAGATAATGTCTCTTTCCCATATTTTTTTACTTTTTTATTATATGGATATCCCAGATAATGTTAAATAATTTTGATGATATACTTTCTTGTTTGGTTTACAGATTTAGAGATGCTGCCTAAGAGCTTTGCTATTAATCAGAATGCTGATTTCAGGCTGAAGGATGGAGTGGACACTTGATAAATTTTAAGGGAAATGTTTTATATGTATATTAGGAACACATGTTGACTCTAATACCCTTTTTAATATATTTAAATGATACACAGCTTTACAGTTTTTCTTTGTTTAGCCTACTGGTGTAATAGCTTTGTATTTCTGAAAGAATTTCTATTTGAGCATGGGTTGTGGGGGTTTTGTTTGGTTTTTACTGTATTCGTTGGTGTTTCTTTGCTTGTATTTTATTTGTTTTTGTACATGCATTGATAAAAAAGATTGGTAGCCTTTTGTGATACATTTAACTGGTTTGAGAATCAGATCATGTTTGCTTTAAGGCAGCATTAACTAATGGTTATTTCCCTGAACCTAGAGTTGACTTATGAAAGTGTAAGTGAATGTTTTTACTACCAGTGTACTTCGTGGTTATTGAAAAGAGAAAATAAAGTCTGAATTGCCCATTATAACCCAATTTTTTTTTAGTTTGTATCAAAATTTACTTGAGAAAAAGCTTGTATTTTTGGTCCATTTCTTTTACCCCCTTTTATTGAAAAGGGGTTGTCTTAGAGGGTAAATTTTAAGTGTTTAAAAATATTTTTTGATTCTAAGGGAGAACCATTCATGAAAGTGAAAAAAAAAAGTTAACATAATGCTTTCTTGATATCTTGTATCATAAATACAGGATTTTATGGGGTTTTTTTTATTTTTAAAGATTTTATTTATTTATTAGAGAGGAGGAAGAGAGGGAGAGAAATATCAATGTGTGGTTGCCTCTCACATACCCCCTACTGGGGACCTGGCCTGCAACCCAGCACGTGCCCTGACTGAGAATCAAACCTGCGACCCTTTGGTTCGCAGGCTGGCACTCAATCTGTTGAGCCTCACCAGCCAGGGCATAAATACAGGATTTTAGAAAATGAGTGTTACTGCTAATGTTGTATGGTAAAAGAAGTTTGAATTAGAGTATATTTTAAATATGAATACTCTTGTGAGAATTCATAGAAATAATTGCATTTGCAAAATTAATAACAATTCTATGCCAATTTGGGAGGAGTTGAAGACTACACCTTGAGCTGAAAGTAAAAGTGAGAAGCATGCCAAGTTAACATGAATGATAGAGCTGCAAGGGTTTTACTACCAAAGTAAACAAAGGAACTATAAGGTATAGTTACTATTGGCCAGTGTGCTGCTAAAAATGGCTGTATGTAGATCTTGTTCATGACTATCTTTAGTGCAACTAGCTATAGTTAAATATTTACTCCAACATATAGTATTTTAAAGTTAATTCACTTGATTATAACCTATCTTTTATAAAAATCTATGTATCTCTTCATAAGTGTCCATTGCAATGTCTCTACTGATGTTAATTATTGTAGATCCAAGAGAATTATTTGTGATAAGTATTTTACTTTATTTTGTTCTTATGAAGCAATTCAGAAAGTAAGTGATAAAGTAGTACTTTGCAGAATTTGACAGCAACCTCTCGATTTTAAAAGCAAAGATATCATTACAAAATCATTTTTTTCTTATTGTTAAAATCTGAGAGGAGATGAAAAGGTACAAATCTAAAAAGTCCTATGGCAGGCAGTGGAAGAGTTAATATTGAATCTGCATTTAGCAAATTAAGTCTAGATTATAATAACTATAAAATTAAAGGTGTAAATGTTTTGAGGGAATAATAACAAAATATATTGATTTAGTGATAATAGACTGGGACTGAAACGCCAGAGTATGCCAGTAAAAATCAAGAGAATGGAGCAAGGGGGCATAGTTTGGCAATGTAGATGATAGTTATAGGTATGCTGAGTTTTCCCCCATTTTCCAAGAATTTTAATAAATATATTTCTTAAATTGTTTTACAGTTTTAAACTTACAATTTGTAAGACAGTTTAAGAAAATACCAAGCTTATTTATTACAAAAAAACTTTTAAGAGTGTAGGAGAAACTTTCAAAATAATTTTATTATAAAGATCATATGTATTTATGATCTTAATAAATGTAAAAGCATGTATATTTAGCTTTGAAGCAGATCTTTCAAGTATTTAAAGCCACTGTTAAATGTGTTTATGCAATAATATATCAGGTTTACAGGTATTTTCCATATTATGAAAATATTAGGGGGGAAATGATAAACTTACTGCACATATTTTCTTTTTCAGCGGCTTTTCTAACCCAAACTGTGTGTCTTGATGACACAACAGTAAAGTTTGAAATATGGGATACAGCTGGTCAAGAGCGATACCATAGCCTAGCACCAATGTACTACAGAGGAGCACAAGCAGCCATAGTTGTATATGATATCACAAATGAGGTAAGTAGAAATGCTTGATATAACGAAATTAGTTTGAATATCCATTTTTGATATTCAGAGTTTTGATTGGAGAAAAGATCTTTAAAAATCTTTTTTTTTTTTTTTTGATAGTCAAGCATGACATTTTCTGCCAAACGCTTTTGAATTAGAGAAGCTGATTTTTAAAAAGAAATGTAATGAAAGTGTCTTTAATAATATAGTCCCAAGAATTTTTTTTTTTTAAGAGTCACTTTGGACAGTCTTTAAAGCCTTGTCTCACAAAGCTTTCCCTAGCCTTTTTTTTTTTTTTTTTTTTTTTAATTTGTGCCTCAAAATGGCTGTTTGTTTGTTTCCCAGGAATCCTTTGCCAGAGCCAAAAATTGGGTAAAAGAACTTCAGAGGCAAGCCAGTCCTAACATTGTAATAGCTTTATCTGGAAACAAGGCTGACCTTGCAAATAAAAGAGCTGTTGATTTCCAGGTATGTTGAATTTAACTTTTATTTGAAGGCATACATTTATTGTAAATTTTATTCTGTATCTACACTTGGATTATAGTTACTGGTTCAAAACCATGCCAATAAGAAATTTTAATATAAAATTTATTAAACGTGATATACTATATGTAATAAAAGGCTTGTCATGATAAACATGAATATTTAAAGGTTTACATAATTGTAATATATAAAAATTCAGATTTTGTTGACCTAAACAATTATGAAATAAATCGTTGTTTACAGTTATTGCAGAAATGAATAAAAGCCAAATGTCTTCTACCTTTCCTTCTCATCCTTTTCCTGTTTATCTAACAATATATTTATCAACATGCATATGCATACCCATATATACCTTACACATTTGTGGTACACATAAACCTACACTCATGTGGTTCCTAAAAGGGCCTTCAAAAGTGTTCCAAAAACCCACTTTGTATGTTATCTAATATAGCTAACTAGGAATGGTCCCTGGTGTAAAATAAGGAAGTACAATAATTTAAAATAAAGCAAATACCCTAGTGGCTTAGTTGGATGGGGTCATCCCCATGCACCAGTGAATGCATAAATAAGTGGAACAACAAGTTGATATTTCTCTCCCCCTCTTCGCTCTCAAATCAATAAGTAAGAAATAAAGCAAATGTCTTTAATTAGACATTTTAAAACTTCTAGTTTTTTTGTTCTTTAGCTTTTCTACCAGAGGAGTTTGATTGTGGCTATTATATGTATAATATCAGTGATGCGACTTTTTTTTTAATTTTTCAAAATTTTCTGATGGCTTAAGGGAAGAAATAGTCATTCCACCCATTAGGTAGTAAGCTGAGCACACACAGTTCATTTGATACTGGTGACAACCATCTGAGACAGTTACCTCCCTAGCACAGAGTGATAAATAGAGCACCTGTAGTCAAAAATTGCACTGTCACTTTAGAGTTCAAAGGAACCTCATACCTCATTGTTTGTCAAATGGGAAAGGTAATTGGTTGCTCTTCACAACAACAGCTATGAGCATCAAAGGCAATAATAATATATATAAACTGTAAAGCATGAAAAATCAGAGCAGTAACACAGTTTTCAAAGGAATGATTCATGACCTATCCAAAATTAAAATGTTGCTTATAGAAGTCATTTAGAATTTATATGAGTATCATTTAGTGATTGAAGCCATGGTTTCCCTTGGACTTCTTTGCAAATAATTAGCATAAGTACAATTGTCCATTGAGATCAAAGAAATTTTTATATTTAGAATAGGCTAAATTTTTCATTCTCTGGAAAGCAGATTTAACATGGGACCGGATTAATCAGTCTGGGATAGTATAAGAAGTAAGGCAAAAAGAAAACTACACAATATTCTAACCTTTGTTTTTTACCTTAATTATTGGTTACAGGTAATTAATTGGAATAGTAATAAGGAAGCCTCTTTTAATAACAAAAAATGCATTAGCAGGTGTAGTATACGCAAAGGATGTATCTTATATTTTTGTTCTGTAAACAGGAAGCACAGTCTTATGCAGATGACAACAGTTTATTATTCATGGAGACATCAGCTAAAACATCAATGAATGTAAATGAAATATTCATGGCAATAGGTAAGATTGACCTTTTTTTTTCAAACTAAATACAGGCAAAACAAGTTTATACATAGGACATTTTTAGTTTGACTTTTTAAAAAGTTATTGGATTCTTTTTTTTTAATGATTCTACAACTATTTTAGATTCATTTGACTAAGTATTCATTACTTTATTAGTAATATTGTTAAATTTGATTATTACCTATTAGGTTATAATACTTGCAATTTAGTTTCTTCTGAGTTGGAAGCCTGAATTCTGAGCTGATAGATTTCCTAAAGATTTCACTGAGAAATTTGAATAAATGTGTTTTTTTCTATTAGGTTATACTTTTTTATATAAAAGGTAATAACTCAGAGCCATATTTTTCAATGCAGCATGTAGGCATAATGAGATTTTTCTCACTGACCAATAACAGTTTTCATCTCTCTCATGCCCTGAACAGAGCACTAATTTTTCAAGTTCTTTTGAAATCATTGATGTATATAAGTATACAGATGTATAAATTATTTTAATGCAAATATTGCAGTAGAAAGTTCCAAAGCATGAAGCACAGAGGGAAAAGGAAAGCAAAACAGCATCTATGCTTTGTATGAGCTCAGTGGTCATGTGATCCTGTGCAGCCCTCTTACCTTTCTTTCAAGGTACTTTTAACTGATGATGACTGCTAGTCAGTCCACAGTTGTTGAATTAGGTGATGAAGTTGGAATACTAACAAAGAAGTTTCCTTTTGTCTAAAACAAAAATAAAAGTATTTCTTTTGACCTTCCCATTAGTTTCAAAGTGAAGATTTATAAGAAGGGTCTATTTAGGTGGCTCTCACAGTTTTCTGCCCACTACACTATTCAGGTGCAAGCACTCTTCTTATACCATAACATTTTTTTATTACACAGTAGTGATTAACTGGGTGTCCACATTCCTGTCCTCAAATAAGGAATACTCTTTTATATTGAAGTCATAACAGATTGACCAATTTAGAGCTGATTCAGAGGCTAAAGAAACTTCATTAAAAGCTGCAAGTACTGTCATAATATCTTTCACTAGATGAAAGAGTTTAATGATGGCTCATTTAGGGCAAAAAGTTGCCTGTTTATTGTATAAAATATTTTCCTGAGAAACTCAGGCTTGCAGTTATTAGGGAAATGCTAGCATATTTGCAAAGAATTGTTTGGCAATATGCTCTTTTTATAAAGGGGATGAGTGACACCCAGAACTGCACCTGAAAGTTTAACAAAAAACAACATGATAGGTCCTTCAAATCAAGCTGAACTTTAAACCTTTCTGGTGGTTTTTAATTTGTATTTTTTATTCATGTGTTCTAGGAACGTCATTTTTCCAGTCAGAAAATAGCCTACATACTACAGCTTCCAATTATTTTTCTGAAATCAGAATATTTTTTTCCTTGAAAGAAATGGAAATGCCATTTCTTTTACTAGATTATAACAAATAAATCACACAGTATACTCACATTTTTACTTTTGATGACTTCCCAAAGGGAATACTTACTTCATGGGAGAGTCTGCAATAAATTTATTGTCTGCTTTTCATTGTACAAGGTTTTGAGAGGCTTCTTTTCTTGCACATCTTCTTGGACTCGATCTAGGATTTTTAGTTTCTCACAGTTCATCAATTTAGGGACAAATTGGTAACCTGCAGTTATCCATATACAAAACAGTACTGGTTTCACTTTGGTAACACTCAATGAGATATGAGACAGGAGACAACTTCTTTTGCGATCCACAAAGTGCATTTTAGTTTATCACCACAGTAAAAATTAACCAGTAGAAGCTAAAAAATTCTTCATTGCAGTTTATTTCCATCAGCTTCCTGATTTCACTCATATATAATTACAGGTAGCTCTTGAAGAAGCATGCTAAAGTGAAAAATGGTTGCTCAGTCCTAAACCTAACTTGGTATTAACTATAATAAAGGTTATAGTGCTAGTCTACTCTTTATCCTACAAGGCTTTGTGAATACAGTTGACTGGAAATTTACCATTTTATTACCATTTATAACACCATCTTTAGAACAGTTACTAGAAAAGTGGCCCTAGGTAATGGGTTTTCTTCCCAGACCTCATTGCTCTTGGCTCCCAGATCCATTGGCCATTCCAGCATCTAGAATTCTAAAGATGGTTACAACAAATAAAGGATAAAAGATCCAGAACACAACTAGGCATATCGATTTTGAAGTAGAGCATGTTTAACTTTTGTGTAAATTGAGCCAAGGCTGAGGTTAAGTTAGAGTCTTACTATAGTAAGTAGTTTCTCCCCAAAAGTGATGGAGACCAGTGTGTCTAGCCACCCTTAACAGTCTGTACTCTTAGAGATGTTTAACATTGAATGAGTCTGACACATCAAGGATCTTCAGATTCCAAGCAGGCAACATCTAATCAGTAGGAGCTGTGCTCCAGAGAACAGCATTAGTTATCCTGCTCTTAGCAGAGTAAATGCCATTAAATGCTGATTGAGGGGCAGGCCATGCTCATCTGACTCAAAATTGGGAAAAAGTTTTTTTTGAGAGAGCCTGAGGAACAGTCTTACTTACTAGGTAGAGTTACTGTTGAATCAGATTAGTATTCTTAATCATCCACAGAAGAGAAAAGTGGTAGGTATTTGAAAGGTGAAGTCTATAAGCCAGAAAGAAAATAAGAGATGTGATCTGTCATAATTTTGAATAATAATTAGGTATCACAGTAGAGGAAAATTTCTTCTGGGGTGATGGTAATGGTATTTGTTTATATCTTGACTTGTTCCAAAAAGTGTTTGTGGCAGTCCAAAGAACACTGATACAAGTTGAGCTGCCCTTACAAACACATTTATTAACTTAGAGTTTTTAAAAGTAATGATTATGAAATAAGTACAACTTTCCTGGTATTGCTAAGTGAATATATGTAAAGAATTTACTATAGTTCTAGTCAAGTTAAGTTTTAATTGTATGTCAGCAACTGGTCCCCATTTACCCTTTCATCAGCTCACTAAACTCCCTAAGGATAGTGACCAATGTTTTGATATTTAATAGATACTCAGTAAAGATTTGGACAGAATGGACATATGGTGTCCTTGACCAGTGTGACTCAGTTGGTAGGGCGTCATCCCACAAACCAAAAGGTCTCAGGCACATGCCTGAGTTGCGAGTTTGGCCCTAGGTTGGAGTGCGTACACTAGGTAACCATCCAGTCAGTGGTATCTTTTTCTTTGTTTCTTTCTTTTTTTTTTTTTTAATGGACATGGTTATGTGATAACTTGAGGATAACCTAACTGGAAAGGAAGATTATAAATAAGCAGATGAAAGTAATTGTAGTATGAATATTCTAATTATGTTTATTTTAATAATTTAATCTCTCAGCTAAAAAGTTGCCAAAGAATGAACCACAGAATCCAGGAGCAAATTCTGCCCGGGGAAGAGGAGTAGACCTTACTGAACCCACGCAGCCAACCAGGAGTCAGTGTTGTAGTAACTAAACCTCTAGTTTGAACCCGCTGGAATATTCTTCTGCTTCTTAAATATTAACGGTGGAATTGGAGCTCAGTATGACTTCCAAAAGAAGAGACTTACAATAGAGTCAAGTTTCTAATACAGAATTATTTTAAGTGTTTTGAACTTAATTTTTAATAACATGCATGTGACCCTCTGACTAATGTTTCAGCAGTAGAAGGGGGAAATGAGAGCTGTGTGTACACTTGTTTCCTTGGAAGGTTAGGGGTAATCATTTCTCTTCACCAGGGATATGTATAGACAAATGACTATCTGAACCTACAGTTATCCAGCCAGATCTACGAAAAAGATTTCAAATTTAATTTGAGCTTTTCAGAAACATTCTTTTTTAGAAGAAGGTTCTAAAGATATTTATGCTTAGCTATGGTATACAGGCAACTGGTAATTTCTCACAGTATCCATATTTAAAGTGTACATTCCACGTTTTAGAAAATTAGCCACAAGAAAACAGTCCCACATCTTCAGGACAGAGTAAGGAATGAGCATTAGTGGCATTTAAATTGTAGACAGTACTGTTACTTTAAGTGGGGTGTAAAAAAAAATAAAATGTTAACCCCATCTTGTTTTAGGAATATGAAAGCTGATAAATGCATTTTAATGGGTAGTGTTTCCTTCAAACGTGAGCTCTTCAACAAAAGTGAAACAAACCAGGTGTCTGTAATTTCTGTTTAATCACTGCGGGCCATTATATAGGTTTAGTTGTTTGGGGGTATGGAAGGGGCTTTTGTTCCCTTTGGACATGATATAGTCAATGCACTAACAATTATGTACATTCAAACTTGATTATTTTAAATTCGAGCTGTACTGTAAATAGGGTACTGCATTGTAGTCTCCATCCGTTTACTGCTTTTCTGTAATATTTAAGAATTGCTTAAAAGTATACAAAATGTACAGTTACTAAAACAGCTAATTTTTCCCTTCTTGCCCCCTTTCAGTGGAAGGGGCTTCAGTTCCTACATGGCTAGAACCATGATAAAACAATGTACCAGTAATTTGTAGCATACGTATTGCAATATATGTTAGTAACAATCTTGCAGCCTTGTTTTCCAAAGTTCATTTTATCTGGATCAGTTCGGTATATTGCACTAATTGTTTTTGGTATTTTCATTATATGAAATCTACCATGTGTCAGAGATGATTTAATCTATTTAAGTGTTGACCTGCTAGCAAAACTTGTATATTTACAGTACTTCAGAATTAGTAAGGAAAACGGTTCACCAGTGTTTAGTTTTATATTGAGGTGCCCAGGTTGGAATAAAGTGGTATAAAAAGCAAGTATTGGTTTTTCTCTCTTTTTTGGCATGAAACAGTGAACATATATAAATGGTATTGTGTAACTTAAAATCTGCTTTTATATTTTCCTAACCACATTCTTAAAAATGATTTGTGTGGTATTGATGTATTATTATCCTAATACCTGGTTCATTGAAGAAATTGTCTTTATATTTTTGTATTCTAGATAATCAGAACTTTTATCTTTTACTTCAGAAACTGATACTCACTTCCACTGAGAAGTATGACCATAACTGTAATGTTGTCTCTGGAGCCAGCCATTAAAGCAGCATTTACAAGTTCATGGCTGATATACTCAGCTGCATCTTCATAGAAACTATTAGTGCTTATTTTTTCTTTTTCACTTGAATCTTCTGGTACACTGCCTACATGTCTGTCAGTTTCTTCCTTACTGCAAGGATCACGATTAGTCATTTCTGGTAGAATTTGTGCATTTCTAGGATCACGAGTGAAATACTGAGAATATTTTGAATGAGATATACGTTCTTCAGAATTTTTACTTGACACACATTCTTCAGATTTACGTTGAAACAATACATGGATATTACTGTCTGATTTAGAAATGCTTGGTTCATTGATTGGGAAAAACAGAGGAACTTGGGGTGGTGAAGATTTTTTTTGGATGATGGAATGATATGTTTCTTTAAACACTTGAAACATTGTTATTGCCAGTGTAGTGACTTGCTTGTTATCCAGAACTTCCCAGAGTCCATTAGTAGCTAAAATAAGGAATTGACATAAATCATCTATAGGGACAGAAATAGTTTGAGGTGCTGGAATAATGAACTTTTTCAGTTTGGGATTTCCATGAAATCCAAGTCCTCTTGTGGTTTTTATTTTTCCTTCTAGGAGCCCATATGGTTCATTTGAACTAATTATTGCTCCATTCTGAAGTACTCTTCCTTTTTCGTCTATGTTTCGCATAGTGTGTTCTTTGGTTAGGCAAAACCCATGCCCATTTCTGCATAAGACTGCTTGCACGTTACCTAAAAGATTATTAGAAAAAATTGATGTAGAGATTTAATAACCAATTGTATCAAAGTATTCTGTTAACTTTATTAAGTCTGTGTTTCATTGCATAAACCAGTATGTGTAATAGTGATATCATTAATTGGATGATTTATAGTAAGTCAGACTGGGAAGCCAGTTTATTCCTTATTTTAAAGCAATTTAGTGTTTAAAATACTGCATTTAGTATTAAAATAACTAAAATTATAGATACTGAAAAGTCAGATTTGTTTATGAAACCACTTCCAAATGTTACTTATTTTGTAGAGCCAAGAGTTTAACTTTTTTATAATGAACATATATTCCATAGAGCAGACATTTTTAAATGTTTAAGTAAATACCTTTTCATTTAAGATCATAAACCTTGAATTTTTTTAAAAAAGTGAAATTTGGTGATTTTATAATTGGTAAAAGGTAAAAACTGAATATATGTTTGGGTGATGAAAAAATTAAAATACCACTGTTAATGTCAGTCTTGCGAGGTTCCTGATGTGTGTGGCTAAAAAGAAATCAAGTCACTTACCCCTGTGAAGAAAAAACTATGTATTATTAATGTATTAAGTGGTTAATAGTTAGCCATCATGAAATTAAACCTTTTGATTGAAAACTGAAATCATAAAAGTCTATTATAGTTAATGTTTCAGATGAACCTGTTATGTGTGCTTCATTGAAATCTTAAGAAAATAAACAGTGCTCTGAACAGATTGAGGGGTGGTTTTACCAGTACTTTCTTTGGTTTATAAAAAGATTTCTTTGTTAGGAAGACTAATTTTCTGCAAGTTTTGAGAACATAATTGTATATTCAAGCATAGTCCATATTTGATACAGAATCATTTATAAAAGTATTTAAATTCTGAGGTGGGGTTAATGATGTTTGAATATTATAATACCTTTGAGAATGACTGTTCCTGGAATAATGAGAATTATAGAATATTCTGTGCTATACCCTAAATCAGAAGTTTGTTGTTACAGAGGTTCAAGCCTAAATCTCAAATTATTTTTTTAAGATTTTTTTTTATTTTTAGAGAAGGAGAGAAACATCAATGTGTGGTTGCCCCTCATGTGCCCTGCACTGGGGACTTGGCCTACAACCTAGGCATGTGCCCTGACTGGGAATTGAACTGGCGACCCCTTGGTTTGCAGTCTGGCACTCAATCCACTGAGCCACCCCAGCCAGTGCTAAACCCCCAGTTTATAAGGTAAAGGAATTTAAATTTCAGAAGATTGAGGTCTATAGTCTAGTATGATGGGACAGAAAACATAGGTTAGCGAGGGATTAGTATCAGGCATAGACTGAGCCTATTGTCTCTTTCACATAATGGAAATTGTTAAGGTATTTGAGTTAATCAGTTGGACCAAAAGTTGAAGATGTATGTGGAAAATATTTTAGGTCTAAGGACTGTATAAATGATAATCCTAAAAATTACATGACCTCTTCTTTGTGGTGGGGTTTGTTAATTTGTATTCACATGTCTTTTTCTGCTGATTATTCTACTTAGACTCTGCAAAGGGTAAATCAGTAAAGTAATTAATTCGTCATCCCTGGCTGGTGTGGCTCAGTAGATTGAACACTGGCCTCTGAAGAAAAGTGTTGCCAGTTTGATTCCCAGCGTGTGCCAGGTCCCCGGTGGGGGCGGGGGTGGGGGTGATTCTCTCCCTTTCTTTGTCCCTCCCTTCCCCTCTAAATAAATAAAATCTTTTTAAAAATAATTCTTGATTTTAGCTAGTTGTAAATTATTACTGTACCAGCGACAGGAAATGGCAACTTTGTAAAATGAATTGTTCTATAAGGAAGACAGTACCTCTTTTAAATTAAATTTAAATTTCCTTATGTGTATGCACACATGAAAGTAGTGCAACCATAGCTCTGAAAAATGGGACAGATTTTGGGCCAGAATAGTTAGAACCTCTGACTTCCTAAATGTTTACTTATGTCACAGTTCAAAGCCCATTTGGCAAAAAGAAAAAGCTTTATTTTTCTACTCTGAATTGAAGAGAATTTGATAGTTATGTATTTAACATTGGAAGGGTAGTAAACTGGCATTTTGATTTTAGTTGCCTTTGCAGAGAGCTTGATATACATAGCCATATGCACTGTTTGCCTTTTTTTTTTTTTTAATTGCTGCGCTGGAGAATAGGAAATGCCATTTTGGCTGATTTTACTCTTTCGTTACTATTTTCTAGAAGGGACACTAAATCATGGTTGCAGTTTTTGCTCTGCCATTGACTTCCTGTCTGACTTTAGGTGAGTTATTAAATTTCTTTGACAAATTATTGATCCTGATAAAAAAAGGAGATAGTGCCTTCCAAATAAGTCACATTCTTGCCGTATGAATGGCATGTGAAGAGAAGGTGAAAGTGAAGGACAGGTGCCTTGTACTTCTCAACTATTCATGCATAGTCCAGGAAGTAGAGGGATAAGTAAGAATGAGGGCCTGAAGAGTGTTAATGGAACAGGTAAGAAAAATTGGATGTGCTAAGTCAATCGTTTTATTTCCTGGACCACCTAGGGTTGCTGTCAGCCGCAAATGGGGTGGTTGAAAGGGGTTGACTATTAAGCTAAAAGTGAGGATAAGCTAATGAACAAAAAGCCCCAAGGAGGATGGGAAATGAGGAAGATTTTAAAACAGCACTGTATGTCCATGTGTCTGCAAAACTGAAGGAAGAAAGAAGAGCAAGTCATGACTAAAAAGGAGGACAGATTGGTTTTAAAGTTGGGTCCCTGTAACATCTGTTCAGAGAATATGAGAATTAGCAATGAACTGTGATGAAGATCCCCACACAAAAATTTTAATGAATCTAAGCATAAATAAAGAATTTAAATTCCTAGACAAAGTTATCAGTAGCTGGAGAAAGTGTGCTCTTGAGAAAATGTTACCAGAGCAAAAATGGAATGGCTGCTGGAAGAGTAACATGTTAGGGACATTAATTGTTCAGGGATTAAGAAAAACTGCTGTGAGATGGTACTTAAGCCTTTTTAAGATGTAATGTATAGTCCAGCAAAGTGTTCCTTATGTAGAGGGCAAGGATGTAACTGCCTCCCCCAATTGCTGGGTTATTTCCAACTTGTGAAAACAATATTCCTGTGAATCAGAGGGACCCTAGAATACTAAGGGGAATTCTGGGTCTGAATGGACCAGATGAAGATTTTTTGCAGATGAAGCTAGCAAAGCTACTTGATAACATGACAGTTTAAGAAAGAATTAGAGAAAAGGAAAGTTTTATGTAGTGATAAGAAAAGGAAACATACCTAGCCAGGATGCATGAGTGCCCTGGAATAAAAAGATGGCTTGCTTAGAAGAAAGCATAGGGAAAGGACAGACTTGGGAGCCTGACACATCTGAACTTGAGTCCCAACTTTGTGTCCATGTGACCTTCACTAAGTCACTTTATGTACCTGAATAACTGATTTTTCCACCTGCAGTGTTTTTTTGTCAAGGTTTTTGTGAGGATTTAAGAAGGTACTTTAATAAGTAGACATTTGATAAAGGTCTTCCATGACGGGGAAAGCAGGCAACAAGCTTATTCAAAACAGATTGAGACGAAACTATATTTTGTATCAGACCCATTTATATAAAATATGAAAATCTTTTTTTAATATATTTTATTGATTATGCTATTACAGTTGTCCCATTTTCCCCCTTCACTCCCTTCCACCCTGTCCACCCCCTCCCACCCACATTCCCCCCCCTTTAGTTCATGTCTATGTGTCATAAGTTCTTTAGCTTCTACATTTCCCATACTATTCTTGCCCTCCCCCTGTCTATTTTCTACCTATTGTCTATGCTACTTATTCTCTGTATCTTTTCCCCCTCTCTCCTCCTTCCGCTTCCCTGTTGCTAACCCTCCATGTGATCTCCATTTCTGTGGTTCTGTTCTAGTTTGCTTTGGTTTTGTTTTGTTTTAGGTGTGGTTGTTAATAATTGTGAGTTTACTGTCACTTTACTATACATGTTTTTTTATTTTCTTTGTCT